CAGTGACTGTTCCAGTGAATGCATGCTCCGATCCTGCCAGCACCGATATCCAGTGGGTAGCTCCATTGAGTATCATGAATTCATAAATCAGTATGAAAACCTCTCTTCATCTCTCTCCCAAGCAAACAAAACACCACCTTCCAGTCATGGAGAGATAGCTGCGCTCTAGTAGCTGCGGCATGGACTATGTGAGCAAAGAACAGTATACAGACATACAGGCAGTTGATTGAATTTGTACTGAGTGATTTACTGCCTTTTAGGGGTGCCTACGGGTGCTAATCCGGATTCTTTCATAGAACTTTGAGGACATGTGCCGGTTAGTTAGTTAGTTAGTTAGTTAGTTAGACCTTTGGCACGAGAAAAAAACACATGGACGCCACATGACGCCACTTCCAGGTACTGTGCTGCGGAGGACGCTTCCACCTTGCCTTCGGTGAACCAGATGCTCGCGGCGCGCGGGGTCAGTTAGACGTGTGAGACGTGCGAAACGGCCGGCCGAAGTGGTTGAGGGTTTACTGTATGGACACAGATCACATGATATCACATGAACAGTGATTGAATGTGATTTAGGGTTTACTGTATGGATATCCTGTGATATCCATCCTCAGAAGTTCTGAACATGATCGCTGCAGTGTAGAAAACAAACACATGGATGGAGACGAAACCAGATCTCCCACAGCGCAAATGGTGGTTCTTGGATGTTCTTGGCTACCAAGTGAGCTTTTGGTGGCTAACCATGGCCCCTTTGCATCGCAGTTCATCGCTTGTGGGTCGTTGGTCACGTCCTGGAAGCCGCAACTGGACCTGTAGAGACTAAACTGGGGATTGTGTGACGTGTTGTGCTGTCATGCTTTTGTGAAGCCCAAACAGCTGGTCTTTGCCTTCCCCAGTCTTTGTGCAACTTCATGTTTCTCCGTGAGTGGTCAGATATCTGTGAACATCGAACCCCTTGCAACCAAGAAAGCATCCGCGGTGTCACGCCCGGCACCCCACCCTAGCACGGACCGCAGGCTGATATCCTCCTGACCGCCCCAGCAGTCGGTCAGAGCCTCAGTCGGTCAGCAGTTCAGACCTTGGCAATCTGGCGGGGTTGCTGGAGTTGGTGCAAGAAGAACTGTAAGAGAGGATGGTCAGAGGATGGCGAGTAGTTGAGCATGTGTTGTTTTTGTTTAAATGTGTTGCAACTAAGGGATTCCAGTAACTTGGATTCCCATGTGCTAAGCCTGGCTTCAGAAGTCAGAGGCAAGAGAGGGAGTTTAAGGAAACTGAATCCAGAACACAGTGGATTGCACAGCTGTTTAACTATTTACCCATCCACCCACCCACCTGGCACCACCCGCCATGTGCATGCGCTCCAACCAGTTCTCCATGCACTCCTTGAGGTCAGATCACCACCTTGGATCAATCCCCACCCGTCTTTACCGAGCTGGGTGCCAGTGGTATCACTGCCCGACGCCTCAGTATGTGTTTTTTCCTGGACAGTACGACCGAGCTGGGTGGTGTTCCTCGCGTGGTGAAACCATCAACAACGCTGGAAACGGTCGAGTTGGATTCGTGGTGAAACCAAAGAGATCACGTGGTGCCCCGGTGGTCGAAGCCCCGGTGGTCGAAGGCCTTTTGATCCTCGTGAAGATGCACTTAGTTGGTTCATTGATGGAGCATTCATCGGAGAATTCGTGGCCCATCCAGAATCCAAGACGAATCAATGTGACCAGCAACTTGGGGATGGCAACGGATATACCGGCCAAGCATTACTACGGTGGTAACAAAGCTCCCTGTGACTCACAGTTTGGGGGGGGTTCTTTTTGGGAGAAACACACAGACCATATGTATCCCTGCAAATCCAAGTACCTTCTCAGAAGGCACCTGGACCCTCCTGGCACCCACCCCAGTCCCACCTTCTGAGAAGGCACTTGGATCCCTAGGGTATATTCATACGCGTATTCAGCCACAACGGGGAGATCCATTTGGCCCAACGACAACCAGCCGATGTTGCTGAGGTTCATCCATCTGGAACACAGGTCCAGTCTTCGGGTCCTGAAAGCCATATACCCTAGGGCTCCAGGAGGTTACCTCCTCAGGTTCGGTTTGACTGGACCCTCTAAACTCACCTCAAACACCTTCTTAGAAGGTACGACTGGAGCCCTAGGGATAGTTGTGTCTTTAGATGATTAAAGGACGGTCCACAAGACCTCCCCAATCCTTTTCTCAGGAGGTAGTTGGAGCCCTAGGGTTATGACATAAAGCTGCTTGCTATGTCTGAAAAACCTTAAATTAATAGTTATTTTAGGAATAAAATAGGAAAAACATAGGAACTGAAAATAGGAAAAAAAAAGGACACAAAGAGGATGAGTCTCAAAAATAGGAAAAGAAAAGAGCTGGATTTAGAAATAGGAAAGGAATAAAAGGAAAAGAATGGCAGCACTCTAGGACAGGAACATAAAATGGACCTAGCCCCAGTGGACCCAGGTCTGGCGGACCTAGCCCCAGGGTAGCTAGGCCTAGCCCCGGTGGACCTAGGTCTAGCGCTAGCCCCAGTGGACCTAGGCCTAGCCCCGGTGGACCTAATTTTTTACTATTTTTTTCCTATTTTGGGGGGGGTGCGAAAATCGTCCTATTTTTTCCTATGTTCAATTCCTATTTTTCTATTTTTTCCTAATTTTTTCATATTTTTTAAACTAAAAATAGGAAAAATTAGGCAAAAATAGGAAAAATTAGGAAAAATATGAAAAATATGAAAAAATAGGACCCCCCCCAAAAAAATAGGTAAAAAATAGTAAAAAATAGGCAAAAAAAGCACCCCCCCCACAAATAGGAAAAAATACGAAAAAATTAGGAAAAATAGCCCTCCGTGGACCTAGGTCTGGCGGACCTAGCCCCAGTGGACCTAGGCCTAGCCCCGGTGGACCTAGCCCCAGTGGACCTAGGTCTGGTGGACCGAGGCAATGATCCTCTTTTATTCCTATTTTGTGTTGTCAGCCCTATTTTATTCCTATTTTGGGGTCCTATTTTATTCCTATTTTTTTCCTAAAAATATATATTTTTGAACACTCCAGAGATAGCAATAGCTTTTTTTCATAACCCTAGGGTATGTTGGCCCGTTGGGAATTGAACCAATTCAACGGATCCTTTATTTTTGAGACGGAATTCTATCATCCCAATATGTCCTGCAAAATCCTGCAAATATAAACCGGAAGCGGTTAGTTCATCCACTTTCTCAGCTTCCTTGAGAAAAGCATCTCCCCGACGGATGCCCTGAGACGTGCCAAGGAGACCACGATCCAAGTGACCTTCAAGTGCAACGAGGTGTTTCTGCCGACGCGCTGGTCTCCGCGCGGTCGTCAGAGGTAGTGTCAGAGGTCCTTTAGTACCCAAGTCATTCATTGAACAGGTCTCCGAACCCTTGCGGTAAAACGATTTCAAAGGCTTAACTTCGGTGAGTGACCCCTTTTCTGAGAAGCCCTAGGCCCTACTCAAGTCTTTCGTGTCCAGAGCTAGGGAAAAACGGCGGAACACACAGACGCAGCCCAGCCGCTCGTGAGCTCACCTTGAATCCTGGAGCGGGAGCCACTGAAGCCTGTTCGCGGTGGAGCCAGATCCAGGCAGAACTTTCCATGTTTCTTTCGACACGAGTGTGAAGAGTTGATCCATGGCTCCTGGACTGTTTCTTTGAATATTACCTAGTAATTAGCTTTAGTTATTCAAATTTATATACTATATGTAACTAGCTATATGATATCATTTGGGCTTTTACATATGGGACATATAGTGGGACATATTACTACTGTATGTTACTTTGTCATGGATCTATACTTCACAGATTAATAATGTGCCTATTACTATTGGATGAATGACCAAGTTTAAACGTGTGAATCCTTTTGTGTGGCTCCAACAGATTCTTGTCACTTGTCACCACTAAACAAAACCGAGGAAAAACCTTCGGGTTCCCACACCTAGCAGTTCACAGTATGGATACAATCCACCGTTTGACTTGCAGACTCTTGCTTAGTAGGGAAAGAGGGAACGAGCCCCCAATATAGATTGAGATTCCTTTAGATCCATTTCCTAAGCACAAGTCGGCTTGTGAGTGAGCCGTCAAATCAACTGCGATTCCGTCGCAGACGGGTGAACTGATGACGTGAACAGACGGCGAACCAGGGAACATGGGAATGTATGGAAGATGCTGCATACCCCTGAAACGACCCCAATATGTATCCCCATGTAGGCCACTATACCATACATAGAGTGTTTGGGTTAGCATTTTAGATGCAGACCTCATACACTCAGAGGTAAAGGTTTGATATACAGACATTCTGCGATCCCAGGAATTTGTGGTGTCTCGTCAATTAGCTCACCTGGGGTTGTTTCTGCCGTGAGTGGCTTTGCAATGTGTTGTCCACGGCCACATGCACCAGCATATCAGGGATCAAACTCCGTTGGCATATGCAATGCTGGGTGGTGGATTCAGACCTTTACTTGGGATGATTGAACCCACCAAAATGGACGTGGCCTGAAGTGGCTAATGACTCGATACCTCGAGGAAACCAGATCGAAACAACTTGTTTAAAGTGTGGGGCAACCAGCGGTTGTTTGTCCTTGCATTTGGAGCTTTCCCTCTCAAGCAAAGCAGAGCACATTAGGAGAGATGAGGATACAGTGGGAGCTTATTTGATTGCATGTCTTTCATGAACATTAAGTTGCTGGGTGGATCGCTCTGCCGCCCACACATCGACATAGCAGAAAGTTGGGCTCCTATGTTAAAGTGAGCTTTTAGATCAACTTGCCTGGGAAGACCACGACTTGACGTGATGAAGAACTACCAGAAAACAAAGCAAGACATCCACAGCGGCGGCAAACGCGGCAACCAAACACACCAAAAGAAAAGCACACAGCCACACACACAATCGCGCACAAAGACACAAGAGAAACATCACGCAGGACATCCGAAAACACACCACAAACATCCACCCACTATACCCAAACAATCAAACAGCTTTTCCTCCGTCCAGTCGCCGCTCGTCCATCCGCCCAGTTTTGGCCACCGTCCATGGCGGATGTAGCGGCTGGAGGGCGCTGGGCATTGTGGCTGGCGAGCTGGTGGGGACTGAAAGGGCTCCTTTGGGACACTCGGAGGTCGGAGGATAGTGAAGGGATGGAAAGTCGAGGTCGGTGGGCCGTTTTGGGACACTCGGTGGACCGTTTGGGATCCTTTGGGGGTTTAGAAGATGTTCTAAAAAGGATGATTTCTGGCTGAACCAGGGTGATTTTATACAAAAATAGTCCAAATTTGGATCCTTTGGGTTTAGACGATGTTGGATCCTTTTTGGAAGAATTTTGCGAGAAGTGAGAAGCGTTGACCCTTTCGCGATCGAGAGGGAGATCCACAGATCGCCTGCGGGACCCCCATACCTCCCCAAAACATCCTCCCCCGGGCTTGAGCAGTTGGTGAGTGCGAAGATCTCACCAGATCCACGGTTTCCTGAAGCTCCACTCGGTACAGCCCCACCAGAAGCCTTAATACAGACTGTCCTGTTGGATCCGTTGATCGGTTTCAGGACGTTCTCTGGTCCAACCGCCAGTCCAACCGGAGGCTCGGGGAGGCTGGAGAGGCTTTCAGTGGAGCAACGTGGGATCCGGTACCCGAAGCGGCGTCGGGAGAGGTGGATCCATGGATCCGTCGCTGGAATAGTAAGTATACTCCTTGAAGGTAAGGGAGCATTCCATTCCATTCATGGTCTGGAATGGATAAGGCTCCCAAGGGGATCTAAATCATGGGGGGGATTATTCCCTCATTCATCCTCATTCCCTGCGAGTCGCTCCGTTTTCTGTTTGCTGTTTTTTTGCTGAGTGGTTCCCCACTCCATTGGCCTAAGGAGTTCGACCCAAGCATCTATGTCTTATGCCTGAGCCTCGCCACGCATGTGCGTGTGCCGCCACCCTTCGGCCAAGTGCCGCCCTTGCTGGACGTGTTCATCGTGTGACCTGGCAGAACTGGGCAGCGGTGGTGGGCTGGCTGGCTCCACTCCGGTCAATGTAGGCATATATGGCATACATGGAGTGTCTGGGACTGATGGATTTTCACTGTACAAGCAGTGGATGTAGCAATTGTCAGACTATTCATTGACCTTTTTTCGCCAGTCATGGTATTTCAAAGAACCAAAACGTCTTCCCGTCACATCCTCAGAATCAACTCTAGCTTGTCAACTCCTTTTGATGAAACAGTTCAACTTCAAGTGTTCGAGTTTCAACTGTGAAGGTCTCTTTTTTGGTGCTGAAAAACATCAATCCAAATATGGGTGTGGGTCTTAACCGTGCAGGATGTCGCCCTTTTAATGATTTGTAGGGTGACCCACAGCCATACCTGGATCTTCCATCTGTGCCAAACTTCTGCCGAACTTGGTTTCTTTAGATGAAAAGGCAGAAGGTGTCGCAGAGTTGGAAGATCCAGGTATACATCCCATTCCCCAATAAGAGTGGGATGATGGATAGGTGACCCACAGCCATGTACCACCTTTCTCTTCAGCTCAGCTTCTCCCTCAAAGCTGCCGGCTGAAAGGCCTTCGCCCAGGGCCACGGAATCCGGAGCCCAGGTATTTCCAGTGCTTCAGTCCCTTCTGTAGCCTGCTCTTTGGTACCTTGGCCCTCTGCAGCCTGGCTCAGACTGAGAGAAAGGCTGCCAGAGGCCAGCCAAGCGAAGTCTTCACCATGCTTCACCTAAAGTTTTTGGCCCAGAGAAGGAGAAATCCTACGTGGTCCATCTTGTTGGTCTTCCAATGAACCCAGCTTGGACTGCTTGATACTGCTTCCATTGGGTCACCCATTGGATGGTCGGGGTCGAACTAGCCTACACTGCGTGCAGGCTTCCACTCCATTGAAAACCCAGAACTGGGCACCCTGCCATTGCATGTTCATTCTTCACATTGCTACATGCCCTCACATTGATGCTTTTGTCCAACCTCAGCTGATGCAACCGATATGGTGAGTGGGGGTGAGACATGAGCTCATGTCCTCGAAAAGAATCGACCAACACTCGTTGGGCCAGCGGGTGAAACCCCATTTAAATAAGCACCCATATCCTGCCAGCCCAGGTACTTATGGAAGATTTGCCTCCATTGAAGTTGATTTATGATGTTTCGAGGGTCAATGTAGGTCAATATGTCATACGTGGATGGTATGGGATTTGGATATTGGTGCTGTTGGCATATAGCTCCTCCTGGAACCCAAGAAGTTCCGCAGACTCCCACAAGCTACCACGGACCCTAAATACCTGGCACGAGCGAGATGTCATCTCATATGCTATAGGGAGGAGAAGGTCAGACCATGTCAGACCTATGAAGTCGAATGCAACAAGATAATCGATTACATTTTGTTGCATGCTATGAAGAAGAAGAGGAAGAAGAAGAAGAATCATAATTATAAGTTATAATAAGCAAAAAGAGGAAGAAGAAGAAGAAGAAGAAAAAGGAAGAAGAAGAGCAACCACGTGCCACAAACACATCCGTTTTCTCCATTGATTCGCCCCCCCACGAGGCTACCGTTCTCCCACCTGGCTCCTGAGTAGCGCCTCCTGCGCCTGGGCCGCCTTTGGTCGACCCTGCTGGCCGCGGAGAGGCGCGCAGCGGCCGGCGCGGCCCTGGTTGACCATGCCACGCGGTGGGAAGTGGCTGGGTGGGCTTCCATGGTGGGAAGGGAGTGGGTCATGCCTAGCAGTGGGAGTGTTCGCTGCGTGTCCGCAGCTTTCAGGTGTTGAGTAAACTGGGTAGGTGGTACGGTGGTACAGTTCAAAAAGAAGTTTCATACAGAACGGGATGCAGAACGGGATGCTGCAGAAGTTTCGTTGTGATATGTTGTAGAGCATCGATACGGGGGACAGATCACATCTCTACAGAGATGCGTGGCATGTGTGGTGGGTTCCTGGCAAACGCTCTCCACTCTCCACCGGTGGCATATCGAAGCAAAGACCGGACGGCCGCAGCCAGGGAGATTTGTGAAAAAAAGCCTAGAAGGGTGGGGTTCCAACTGGCTTTCTCGAGCCATCCATAGGCTTTTTTTTGAGCCATCCATAGGCTTTCTGGAGCCATCCATAGGCTTTTTTTTAAGCCATCCATTTGCTTTTTTTTTAGGCCTCCCATTGGCTTTTTTTTGCGCCATCCATTTGCTTTTTTTTTGAGCCATCCATTGGCTTTTTTTTAAGCAATCCATTGGTTTTTTTTTGAGCCATCCATAGGCTTTTTTTTGAGCCATCCATAGGCTTTTTTTTGAGCCATCCATTGGCTTTTTT